TACTTGACTTTTCCAAGGGTAGCTCTAGCACCCCCTAGCGTCCTTCTGCTCCCACCACTAAATCCACAGTGGTAAACAGTTCAAACATTGCATTTTGCCTTTGAACTTTGCTCTATTTGCACACTAATGGAGAATCCTGTTATTGTAGATTAATATCAGTCAATGTGTTAGTGTCAGACTTGTCAATCTTGATAGTATTCTTTAATTTTCTTGACAGAACATAAAAATATTCAACATCTTATACTCATCTCATGATCTAAAATTCAAAAGATTAAAAGCCTCCCTTATGAAAACAAGTAAATCCTTATTTGCATCTCCGTCCTTTAAAAAGGAAGAGCAATATAAACTAATGATACAATAAAGATCCCTCTGCTTGTCAAAATTTGGTTTTCAAGCTACTTTTTCTTTTTACATTTAGGTAATTGCACTCAGCAAACTGAGTTTACCTATTTTATAGCTCATTCTGCTAAAACATATGCTCTTGCATGTTACACAACAGTCTCAGTGGACGTTTTTAGGGCAATTTTCCAAGAGAAGATATTTGCTTATAAAGTATATATTTCTTTTATTCAGAAAACTGCTTTCTGTAAAATACCCACCTAACTAATTTCTAAGGCTTCTCATCTTATACTTCTTGTTGCTTAATGGTCGACTGATTCTGTTGTAAGGACACAAATTGAATACAAAGATCTCATACATGCAATACGTGACATAATAATGAGATAATCTGTTTTTGTGCAATGACTGTATTGTTTAAGAGTGGTTAGTTGGGTAGGAGTTAGGACTGCTGCCTTCTAGCAAGAAAGCGTTGAGTTCAACTAACCGTCTGCGCTCCTGACAGTTAGTTGAACTGCATTCCCCTTTAATGCTCTGGCAACCTAATCCAACGCTCACCCAAAAAAAATGGGTCTTGACAATGAATAACATCAGTACGCCGGTTAGAAATTTTACTTTTCACTGGTTCTTGACTATTCTCAAATTAAATCCATACATAATATAATAATGCATATAGTTAGCTGGTCTTTAAGCTTCTTGGGTTTCAACCTTGTGCTACAAGGGATTGTTAATGGCCCATCAGCTAAAGAAATATTTATCTGCTTTCTATCCATTGAATAATTGAACCCACAATGAATATTAGAAAGTACAAAAGTTCAAAAGAACAGTTATTACTCACTTTTATTAAAAAGTGTGATAGAGTCATGTAATTTCAATCTCCAAGTCAAACATTAATAATTCAAACTCAGGTCAAATAATCTAATAAAAATTTCCAAAGAATGTGTTTAGGATTGGACTTTTCTCTAAGACGAGCATATATACTGCCAGTTAAAATTTCCCATCTGCTTTATATGGAACACAGGTTAACACTTACTGGTAACTTAAATTGACTTATAAAACAACCTTTCTTTTCCCTACAGTGCTTAGAGATGGCTTTTATAGGTTTGACCAGGTGATGGCAGCACTAGTCTTTTTAAAGGCTTGGGGAACTGAAGAACTAAAAGGAAAAAGGATCTTAACATAATTCTGCTCATTGAAAGTATGATATGTTTATATGTTCATGACAGACAGAGATTTGAAGTTTTCCTGCTTTTCTTTTTTCTACAGAAAGCTCAGAAGGAGCCTCTAAATCTTCACAAGATGCCGATACTCTGATTTTCCCAGAGTGTCCATATATCTATATTTTCCTATTCACAAAAGTGGTCTCCTGCAAAACAATACCCTACCAGGGTTGGCTTTTTATCAGTTTACGAAACTTAGTCTCTCAAATGGGAGACTATAACAGTGTAATGTGGTGAGAGGGCCTACAATGTCCTACTCTCAGCTGTTTTGCAGCCTTATTCTGGTCTCTCCAGGGCAAAAGGATATTGATAACACAATGTTATCAGCCACTTTTAGGTTTATTGATGCGTACAAAGGGTTCAGGTTTGTGTGCAGGGTTTGTTTTCTGCCAAACATAACTCATCAGGTAGAGTTTCATCTGTCCAGAGCAGCTGTGTTAACATGTCGTGTTAACTCCATCTTACATCAGAGATCTGATTGTTCCTTATGTTCCTAAAAATCTCAATCTGCAGGTTTACTAGTGGTTCCTAGAATTTCTAAGAATAGAATGGGAGGCAGATCTTTTAGTTATCAGGCTCCTCTCCTGTGGAACCAGCTACCAGTTTTAGTCTGTGAGGCAGACACCCTGTCTACTTTTAAGGCTAGGCTTAAAACTTTCCTTTTTGATAAAGCTTATAGTTAGAGTGGCTCAGGTTATCCTGAGCTATCTCTATAGTTATGCTGCTATAGGCTTCGACTTCTGGGTGACATAGGGACCCCTATTTCATCATTCTGCTTCATTCTATCTCTATTCTCCCACTCTGCAGAATCTGTTAGTTCAATCTCTAATGTTATACTCTCTCTGCTTTTTCTTTTAGTATCTTTGCCTTGTCTCTTTCTGTTTGGCTGTGACTCCATCCTGGAGCGAATATCAGCTGTGCTGCTGCCATCAACACCCTTGTTTATAGATGCTGGCAATCAGCCTGTTTTTTCAGTGTAGTCCTGTTTCTCTGACTGTGACTGGCTGGTTGTGCTCTCTTGATCCTCAGACATGGGAGCTGGCTCGGAGCTGGTCTGCCTGGCTGTGTGTTTCCTAGACGGGGCCGCCTTTTACATTTGCTTGTTGTATCTCTGCTTCGGTCTCCTTGAACACCAGTCGGCCTCAGCAGATGGCCGCTCACACTGAGCCTGGTTCTGCTTGAGGTTTCTTCCTGTTAAAAGGGAGTTTTTCCTCTCCACTGTCACTACAGGCATGCTTAGTGAGTGGAATTGCATTTGAGTCAATGAGTTCATGCAATCAACTGTTTTTCCTTTGATAGAAAACTTTTAATCAATTTAACTGTATGATCTGGTGAACTCTAAAGTGCCCTGAGATGACATGTTGTGAATTGGCCCTATAGAAATAAACACAATTGAAATTGAATTGTTACAAACTGTAAGCAGGGCTTCTTTAGGTTTTCTTTTAAACAAGTAAAACTAGTTTATATAGTGCATGTCATATAAATTGCAATTCACCCAGATAGTTTCCATTGACCTGTTCTGCAGTTTATCCAGAGTCAGCATGAGCCTTTGCTGATCGTTTTCTCTTTTCCTTGTCAGTTTTATGAAGTCTGGGTTCTTTAAAAACAGTTTATATTTAAACAAGGAGTGAATTAACAATGACAATGACTGGCTGAGGGCACTTCTTGGGGCAGTTGTTGCACTAATTTCTCTTTAGCGGTGGATTACTACAGTCGTATGCCACTACTTTTGAATGTTTTGTATCAGCAAAACAAAAAAAATCAATATTTTTTTGCACTTCTCAATTGAGCAGTACTTATTTGTTAGTTTCTCACATAAGAGCCACATGAAATGCAATAACATTTGTGGTTCTCGCGAACATGTCAAAATGTGGAAAGTTTCTGTGGAAATAGATACTACTGAGCTTTCAACTCTTAAGCCTTAATATTAATCCAATCTTTCTTTAAAGAAACTTTCTTCAGTCTGCCCTTCTCTCTCAAGTCATAAGCTCAGATTTGTGACATTTCAATATTCATCCTAATTACTTCAATCTACTGTGAACCCATTCAACTTGAGCTCTCACTCTAGCCAATCAACACAGGTCCCTTTCGCTCGCGTTCAAGCAAAGATTTCTCTTTATCGTCCTTATCTTTCCTATGGCTGCACACCCAAACTCACAGTATTCTTTTTTGCTCTCATTGTTTTCCTGCCTTTTTCCCTGCACCCTTCTTCAAATTTCTTTCTCTTCCAAAAGATTAAATCATAAACAAACCAAAAATGACTTTGTATGTGTAAACTATTTCTTTTCTATGTTGCAATTAACTACTAACAATGCCTGTTGATCAAAGACAGTCACTCTTATCTTATGAGATTTTGAAATACTTCCATTTTCAGAATGTTTTTATTTCAGTCATATTAGAGGTTAGAAGACCTACTTAATGCCACAGTTCTGCCTTTGGATTTAGGTCCAAACTTAACTAGACCTCTTTAAAATCCCCATTTATTTTTTACTAATACACATAATAGAATAGAACAGATTATAATAGAATATAGTAGAATATCCTTCTGTGTTTGAGCTAAAGGTCAAGATTTGAAGGCTGCATACCTTCCATCAGGATTTCCTGTTAGAGAGCAGAATTCCTGCACCGCATGTTACGGCAAGTTTTCCAGGTTCTGAAGCAGTAAAGCAGCCCCAGATTCACAATTCTACAACTTGTTTAAATTTAGGTGTGATATTCTTTGTTTATAATGGTGTGCTGCATTTTATTCCAGACGTAACAGGATACACCAAAACTCCAAAAGGGTCCACTTTTATCTCATCACCAGGTCTA